TTTTTTGTAATAAATAATTTTTTTCCTAATTGGTACAATTGTTTTGGTGATCACTATAATTTTCGAAATAATCATACTCTGTTCATATTTATAAGGAATTTGGGGCATAATTTAGGTTTTTTTCTCTGTTTATTCGGTACTTTCCCACCTATAAAAAATTCATTAAATAAAGCTTTACACCAAAAGGCGTAAACTGTTATTTTTATGAAAATAGTTTTGCCAGTCCAGAAGCGTTATTAAATCATATACATCAGTTAGTTAACGTTTCGAAAAATTAATCTTTTTTTTGGTGAAAACTGGGAATGACGTTTCTTTTTTAATTAACCTGATTAATTAATAGTTATAGTAATTAATAACCAAATATAGTTTAATAAACCATTGTGGTGCAAGAGTTTATTTAATTTTTTCACCGGTGGCAAAATATCCAGTANTCATTTTCATTTCAATGCAAAATATAAAACTTTTTTGTAATAAATAATTTTTTTCCTAATTGGTACAATTTTTTTTGGTGATCACTATAATTTTTGAAATAATCATACTCTGTTCCTATTTATATGGAATTTGGGGCATAATTTAGGTTTTTTTCTCTGTTTATTCGGTATTTTCCCACCTATTAAAATTAAATAAATAGAGCTTTAGGCCAGTGTCCCATGCATCCGAATTCCGACGATACGAAGGTCCGAAAGCGTTCCTATTGGTTAATATACATTCAAATTTGTACCGCTCATTTTCATCCGAAATTTTTTAAATTCATACGACGTCGGAAAAAGTAGAAATAATTTTAACTTTTATCCGAAATCGTACGTTTTTTAACCTCACTTTTTTATTTCTTAACATGCTATGATTGTTGTTTGGTATATTTACAGTCAAATAAATGTTATATTATAATGTCGAATGTAGAAAATATAATACTACGTATATNAGATAATCCATTTGACATTGTCTTCTTGCAGCAGAATCGTTTTTCCGGACAGAAAGTAAGCTCTAATCATATCGGCTCTTTTTCGATGTTTTTTCATATCACTTAAAATCTAGAAAATGAAAACAATACACTGTACCGTCACTAAACACAACACTGAAATAAATATCTTCATAAGGTTATACACTTACACCACACAAAGGTACTATACAAACACCTTTTCATGAAATGATATAGTAAGAATAAGAATGTAACATAATTGACCAAGCCCATTTTGCGAATTAACGTGGCAGTTTGTCTTTAACGTGTTTAGTCGTCATATCAGAACACCTGCAACCTTGGCATGTTAAGAGAACAGCGGGGACTATCCTCCGCTGCCCCCTTCGTAAGCGTATTTCTTTACATACTGTACGTAGTGACAGTAAATCTAAGACAGTGTTACATAAAATTTGCACTACTTAAAAAAACAGTAACATATAACACAGATTAGTCGACACAAACGTGACATTTTTTCCCTTAAGGAGGTTCGGTACCAAAAAGTAAATGGTAAGAAAGTTTTCAAAGCAATTGAAATCTGTTAATAAATATACAAACTGCCTCGTGTAAAAATATTGATCGATTGCCAACATAGTTTTTTTTGAAAAATGATATTAAAAATTATGCTCTTATACACACTCTTATGGGATTTGGAAAAAAACTTTCATCAAATGTGAATATTGCTCTTAAAATTGGTTAGGATCAAGAAAATAAAATTGTAAAGAATTGAATATTACTAAATATTTTAAAACAATAAAAATATGCACTTACAATGTAATTATTGAGATAATGGAATGAATATATAACCTTTTGACAAATTTCTTCGACTGACGTGTTATATTTTAATAGCTCGATTACAGACTATAAAATTATTCCAGTCGAAAACATATGTAATGTAATAATTAATATTAAATAAATTTTTCGCGATCTAATGCAATATAATAGCAATTTGAAACAAAAATTCAAAGGATCTCTTTGCAAAAATAGATGCTCCGTCATAACCTTCAATTCGAAAAGGCGACGTCTCACTATCATACACTGAGCTTCTTGAGAGTTATCGCATGGATTCATAGTTTGCACATTTTGCTTTTTTCTTATCAATCCACATTCTATCTGTTCCATACACCTTTTACATTGCTTTTTGTTCATTCATGTTTATTCAGTCGATCCAACTTTTACCACCACGCCATACTGATGTGCAATGTTGCCAGATTTCACCCATAGTTTTACAGGCTCTTAATGAATAGACAAAGTAATATTTTGCTTTACAAATGTCATTGATGTAATGGCGGCAGTTTTGGATATAATGTACAACTAAAAATTAAATACTTTTTCAATTCTTAACTTGCCACACTCACCACTAGTGTTGCTCAGACATTTCGTTTACTCACGAAAATAGAAAGCATTTTCATTTCAATGCAAAATATAAAATTTTTTTGTAATAAATAAATTTTTTTCCTAATTGGTACAATTGTTTTGGTGATCACTATAATTTTCGAAATAATCATACTCTGTTCATATTTATAAGGAATTTGGGGCATAATTTAGGTTTTTTTCTCTGTTTATTCGGTACTTTCCCACCTATAAAAAATTCATTAAATAAAGCTTTACACCAAAAGGCGTAAACTGTTATTTTTATGAAAATAGTTTTGCCAGTCCAGAAGCGTTATTAAATCATATACATCAGTTAGTTAACGTTTCGAAAAATTAATCTTTTTTTTGGTGAAAACTGGGAATGACGTTTCTTTTTTAATTAACCTGATTAATTAATAGTTATAGTAATTAATAACCAAATATAGTTTAATAAACCATTGTGGTGCAAGAGTTTATTTAATTTTTTCACCGGTGGCAAAATATCCAGTAAACAGAAAAATGGAAATTGATGGAGACATTTTCTTATTCTCAAAAATTTTTCAAATCTGGTTAGAAAACTTGGAAATATCAGGGAATTTTTTACCAAAATTTGCTATATACCCTGTCAATTACCGAGCGAAGTGAAATATGAAGTAATGTACAATTTTTCAGTTGTGGCCCAGAGCGGCAACATATCGGGCAGCGCGGGCGAAGACCAAGCCAGGAAGCGAGAGATGAGGCTCCTAAAGAACCGTGAAGCAGCGAGGGAATGTCGAAGGAAAAAAAAGGAATACATCAAGTGCCTGGAGAACAGGGTGGCCGTGCTAGAGAACCAAAACAAAGCGCTCATCGACGAACTGAAATCCCTCAAAGAACTCTATTGCCAACAGAAAACTGAATGAGGTTTGTCTCGCTTCTACAAATTGGTGAAGGACTCGTTTTTGTTTATCGCTAGGGGAACACTGGTCTAATAGGCTAGATTAAGTTCTATGTGTTTTTCTTCAGCGATGGACTTCGTTGAACGTACATTTGAGTGCATTTTTGTTACCGATGCATTTCGGGCCGGGACTCTAGGGGTTTGTTAGGAGATATCTTATTTTTTTACCAAAAAGGAATGTGGACCTAGAGGGTACGGTGCACTTGAGTCGGTCGAGAGGTATTTATTGCGTTTTATATTCAGGGAAAGTCGGATCGTAACCTTACACTTTTACGAATTATCAAAATATCTTACAAAAAATGTTCATGTGAATTACTTCAGTTGAAAGTAAGATTATGCTTAACTTTCTTAAGGTTACGTCTTGGATATTCCATTTGGGAAAAACGTGAACTTGGATTATTACGGATGTGCAATATTTCAGCAAGAGTGGAAGCAATCTACTTTGTAATGCACTTTATGGTATGTAATTTTTTTTTGTTTAACAAAATTTTATGATATTGCTCAAAAAGTCACTTGTAACATTTACAAATTGTTTAAAAAATAAATAGTTAACAAGTAAAAATTTTAATGGGAGAAATATTCGATTGTAGGGTAAATTCCTGTTTTCTGAAAAAAAATTTAAAATTGCTATTTTTCAAGGTACAGGGTGTCCCAGCAAATTCTCACAGATTCAAATAGAACTTGCAAAATGTCGCATATATTTTTATTTCACATATATTTTTATTTGCGCTCACCCTGTACATTTATTTACTCTTTATGTCAAAATTTAAATAATTTTTAGAAGTAATTAAAGTTATTTCTCCGTTTTTAAGTGAAAAAGGAGTAACTGTGTCCAGGGTGTCCCGGTTTTATTGGTCAGGGGCAATGTATAGGGAATCTTATTTTAATACAAAAGTTCATATAAACATAAAATCTAAAAATAAATGTTTTTATTTTTTATCTTCCAAACTATCAAGTCCAAACCAAATTTGGTATAGAAAATATATAAATAAAGGGTCATATGAGTGAATAATGTCGCTTTTCTAAATTAAATTTAACTAAAGTTAAATGGGTAATCATACCCTAATTAGATAAAAAAAATTGTACGGCCTTATATATAATAAACACTAAAATCATTTTTTAATAAACTTTTCAATTACAAACAATGTTAATATATTTTAGTATGTCGTCGTTTCGTGGTAGACTTGATTTTTTCAATTTAAATACTTTTGGATTTATTTTTTTTTATCTAATTGACAAAAAAAAAGTCTGTATTTTTCATGCGACATATGTTATCTATAGTATTTTTGCCTCCTGATCACAAATCCGGTGTCAGAATTGAGCTATCACATCACAGAAATTTCCTAATCTCAAAAAACAAGTCAAAAATAGCAAAAATTGAAAAACCACACTGTTTATCAATAAATTCGTGAATTAATTGATGAAGAACTTCGTCAATAATAACTTCGTCAATGTAAAAGAGCTTTTATTTTTTGAAAGTTCGTGTTATCTGACCTTAATTGACCTGTCTTTTTTGAGATTAGAAAAAGAAGAAGATTCGCGTTCAGCGGGGTCTTACCCATATAAATGAACATTTGAATATAGAAACAAAATTTGTTTGTACTTTTCCTAGCACTTTTTTGTGAATTTTTGCTATTTTTGACCTGTTTTTTGAGGTTAGGAAATTCCTATGATGTGATAGCTCATTTCTAACACCGGATTCGTGATCAGAAGGCAAATATATAAGGGATAACATATATCGCATGAAAAGTACAGACAACTTTTTTTTTTTGTGCGTGGCTGTGTAATCAGTGGGACCGATTATGCATATCTCCACCTCTAGTTAATATGTCCCTTTATTCATATACCTTCTGTATTAAATTTAATCTGGAAGTCTTTGATTAGGAAATTAAAAAATAAAAACATGTTTACCGAACACATCGTACTATTTTCAACATATCTTGTGATAATAGTAATAAAATAAATAAATGCGTGAAAACAAAAATTAGTCATTTATGCAGCAAAGTAAATATGTAAAATCAAATGGTATTTGGCATTGCGCATTTATTTAGTTAAATAAAGAACCAATCATTGCTTTCAGATTTTTATATTACTAAGATATGTCGGAAATATTATGGTATTTTTAATGGTCAATGAATGCATTTATCTTGAAAACAATTGGTTGCATTGATAAACAATGGTGGTGACGGAAAATTTTCGATATTTTATTAATTTATAAATTACATATTCTCAAAGTTTCTGATATTCCCATAAATGTTCCAAAAATTTTGTTCTAAAATTTGAACTATCAAAAAACATCTCATTTGCCTTTTTATAGCCATTATTAATTAAATGTAATTGTAATTATTACAACGTAAATATAATATAAATAATTTTAATAAATTTATATAATTTGATTATTTCTGAAAAATATTATGCCAAGAAATATTTTCTTTTGATTATTTTTCAGATTTAAGTAGTAAAATCACATAAAATCCAATAAGATAGTTAGATAACAAAACATAAAAATTAGTATATTGCAATCGCCAATAATACTGCAGATAAGTGTGTATTATAACAAACTAACTGAACCTTACCACGATTCGCAATGGCTATTTATTTCAGCGCCACTTATTGAAAATTGCTCATAGTACTTTCTAAACCTTCCGAGAAATGTTTCGAACATAACCCATAAATTTAAGCTCAATCCATCTACTGTATTTGAGTCTAAAAGTGACTCACCAACATTGATTTGTATATGTACGAGGTCTGTCTCAAAAGTATCCGACCTTCATATTTACCCGCTGGTGTTATTCTGCGTTATCGGGCTGGTGTCATCCTTCAAAGTAGTCCCCATTTGATTGAAGAATACGCTCCCAACAACCTTTCCACTTTTGGAAGTAGTCCTGGAACTTGTTTTTTGGTATCGCCTTTAGAGCGTTTGTCATATTAGTTTCGATATTTTCGACATTTTTAATCTTGGGAACAGCCAAAATTCGCAGGGAGCTACGTCAGGACTGTACGGAGGCTGA